GAGGTTTTTTTACTCCACCACCAACACAAGCCGGTGAGCAGCTAGAGGGATAAACACCGTTTGTTGCCAGGGGGATAATATTAGCAGAGCAGTAGTGAAAATGTATTTGTTATGAGGCTTAATATAGATTCTGCCAGGGACCCACACAAAATACACTGGCTCTACTTAAATAAATTGAGGTAACAATTTGCGCTGATCTCTTCAAGTATTTCCAACTTAATCGGATAATGGCTTTTCGGTTTTTGGTTACTTTATTTCGGTTTTAGGGTTAGGTTAGGGTTATGTTATTTAATTCTTATTTTTGCCTGATTTTACTGATTTATTATCAAAAAATTAATTATTTTAACATTTATTTTTATTATTCTAAATGACTTAGGGGGGTCCAANGGGGGGTTTCCTTGGTTGCTGATTGGCTAATGGTTACACAAGCCAAAAAATCGTTATGACATCATAAAGTGGCCAAAATCTGATCAGCTCATTCTCAGACCGGTTTTTATAGAAATGGATCAGGACAAAAAGAGTGAGAATCTTTTTTCCTGAAACTTTCAGAATCTCTTTACACAGTTTACATGTTGATGTATAAAAGACGTGAAAAAGTGGATTTAGCATAATAGGTGCCTTTTAAATCATTAAACTCTCCTCCTACTCCTGATCTTACACCCAAGCGAGGGCGGTTAACAGACCTTCGCAGCCTCAAATCTCTCAATTTAATTTGTTGTATGAATTTTATAACCAAATCCTGCCCACATTCATTCAAAAATACATCACATTACAGACACTAAAGATGCTCTAATATATAAGCATATTTTCATATTCACTATAACAGAGGCAGGTGTCCCTTTCATACCGAGCACATTGAGCGTCACAGTAGCTTCTCCCAGGCTCACGTGGTCCTCGCTGGCCGTCACCTCGCAGCGATACTCCCCCGAGTCTTTCTGAGAGACCGAGTGAAAGGTCAGCGTCGCCCCCTCCATCTTCGCCCTGTTGGCATACTGGCCTATGGTGGGAGGGGACAGAGGTACAGCTTAACAACATGAATAAATCAAAGGGTGATTATGAAAGGACGATGGGAAGAAAGGCAACTCAATATCAGGCATTTCTGTTGAGAGATTTAAAGGAATTCCTGTAGGTTTGTCACTCACCAGTGAATTTGTGATTAAAATACACAAACGTCACCCCCATTCCCTTTTTCTTCCACTCGATTCTGGGGTTCTGATCTTTCTCCGTCCTGAACTCACAGGCCAGCACAGCATCTGGTAGGACAAGAAGAAAAATGTGAATACAGTACATATACTTTTCTTTGAAGTAACTGTTTAGGTTAATTTTTGCTAAATATTTTGATTTCTGTTACAACTGTGTTAAAGTTCTATTGTCAAAGTTTCATATTAGGCCACAATTTTCAATCAGTTTCACTCTGAATGTCAAATTTGATGGCAAAAAAATGCATTGGAAAATATGGTTTGAGACTGGTGAAGGTTTAAATTGCTCTTTAGTGAGGGTGAAATCCATACAGCATTAAAGATATAAGAAACACGTTTACAAAGAACAAAACTTTAATCACATAATGTATGATTTTAAGGATAAGTCAAATAAGCCGAGTCTGACCTGTGTGTTCGTGGACCTCCACTTTGGGTTTGCTGCTGCTGACCGTCACTGACAGAAAGAGAGGACCTGCAGGAGAGAGGGTCAGCTGTGGTCAATCTTCAAGACAGTTTTCACTTTAAGAAAACAATCAGGTTGAGGCTACTTTTTTGTAGGTAAAATTGTTTTCCAGAAAAATGACATGATATCCATCGTAACACACGTTTTAAGACAACACAGACAATCATCATGGATTCACACCATATAGAAAAAAGTTAACTTTCCAAGACAGAATATGTGCAGATCTGCTCTTTACACACACACACACACACACACACACACACACACACACACACACACACACACACACACACACACACACACACACACACACACACAGCCTGGTGGTGCCAGGAGCGGTGGTGTTTAGGAATGCAGGTGATGGATGACTCTGACAAGCTGCCTAATCCCGACCTGATAACCTCCTCTAACGAAGTGTCTTCAGAACACACTGCATTCCTCCACAAAATGTATGAGTCGAAATCTAAAAATATGCTGTAGATGCCCCAAAACTGTAATGGTAGCCGCCTTAGAGCAATGCATTTTTGATAAACTTCAATGGCAACAAGTTTTTACTGCAGGAAAACGCAAAGTCAAAGTTTTATCTAAATACAAATTGATAAATAATGTTTAAAAATGAATATAATCCCATTGATAATGTGCAGTTTCTTTCACTATAAATCCATGTTAACAATTAGTTATTGCAAACGTTCCCAGCTGCTGTTCCCTGTGAAGGATTTAAAAAATTTAACAAGACAATAAGGAGAAAACAACAACGGAGAATCACTTAAGGAGCTTTAATATTCGAGGTAATAATGCATACACCTTGTTTGGTATTATGCAGAGAACACATGGGATCAATGCATGAGTGTGTGTGTGTGTGTGTGTGTGTGTGTGTGTGTGTGTGTGCGTGTGTGGCGCACACATGCGTGGAGAGCATGCTTGTTGAGACAAAGCAGCTCTTTGTGAAAGTAACCTTACCCTCCTCAGCTGGCACAACACACACTCACACAGACAGATATCTACACACACTTGCAGCACTCCACACTGGATGAACCTTTAACCATGACCCTGAGCTTAACCTAAACCTCTCTGCCTTGAACCCGATTTAACCTACAGTAAAAACTGAAATTAAATGCATTGTATTCCAGATGTTTTCTGATTATTTTACTCACAAAAAAACATTTTTAGGATTCTCATAGCAGTAGAAAGTGCTTTAAAAAGGTTTTACACTTTGCAAATAATGCCAGCACCATGCACTGGATCCTTTACTTTTGATCAGCCTTGTCCTGACTGAGGATAAGGATGTATATCTTTTAATCTCTGTGATTTTGTTTGTTCCCTGATCATAAGGAAAAACAAGGAAGATCAAAACAAACGTCAAAACTGCAATTATCAACATAAAGCATTTTGTTTGGAAAGCAGCTTCTGCCCCTGACAGATCCCACGAACGCTCCAAATGCATTTTTCCAGATAGCAAGTGGTCGTATTTCATCTCAGTCCAATCAACAACAGGGTCAGGCGGGGGCCATCTTCAAACTGAAGCGTTGGGATCTCAGACTCCTCCACGAGATTTGTTTCATCAGCCGAAGATCTCGGGTTCAAACGGCATCAGAGTGGGTTTCATGTAAACACGCAGCCCAAACAGAACCACTCCCTGCACAATCTCAGCCTCTGACGCAGTCCCTGAACGCATCACATTTCTCCTCCTGACGTGCACTAACACTACTGATCAATAAATCATGAACCAAAATAATTTCTGTCTGCTTCATGCTGAAATCATAAGCATTTACCACAGTTTACCACAACTTCTCTGTTGCAAAGACCAAACATGCATCACCTAACAAAACCTCTTCATTCATTTAGAAGTCAATCACACAAAAAAAAAAAAACCTGCATGTGTTCTGCATTTATGAGGGACTGTACAACAAGTAAAGGGAGAAGGGGGTCAGAAATAGAGGAGGGTTAAGTCTTTTTTTACTTTAACAATTTTCTTTGCAGCAACAAAAACTGTTAGTCAAAATATATTATCATATATTTCTAATCTAGAGATATTGGGGTGAAGATATGAGAGCAGAATCCAAATAAATTTTATTTTCCAAAAATGTGGTTGGGCCCTCCTACCAACACATATCATTTTGGTACATTCTCTAACTTTTGCCTTTAATATAGGATTTATATTTAATTCTGCGTCTTCTATGCAGGCCTTCAGAGAAGATGTTGATATTATGGACCCAGATTTCAAATGAAATACAAGTCTGAAACAACAGAATACCTGGTGTGAATAATGTTGGAGCATCCACAGACTGAGGGAATACTTAAAGCTTTAACACATGCACTTCTCCCTCGTAAAACGTCTTGCAATAGATCTATAAGCCTCTTTTCTGAGTTTATTATAACGTTCCTAAAAGCAGAACAATACTCACTGTGCATCAAAGTGATGAGGAGGGTCAGAGCCAACACCTTCATGGTGTTCATGTTTAGTCCCGGTGAGTTCAGATCCGTCCGCTGAGCCTCGATGAAAATAGTTTTACTCCAAAGTCTTTGCAGCTTCTTCAAGTTTCATCTGCAGCACGTGCACGCTTTCTGGAGAAGCATGGACAACTGAGGGCAGCGTGCACAGGGCGGAGGTGCTGCTGCTGTCCTGACGTCCAGGGAGACCCCCGCCCACAGGAGGGGAAACATGAGCTCTGAGACGGGTCGTTCTTTGATCTTAGTTTCTCATACAGTACAATTAGCACAAGGTTTAGTGTCTATATTTCCTAGTTAACAGCAGTATGTACGCCTACAAGTGACAACATGTCCAAGACTGATCTGGGTTCTTAGGAACGGAGCAAACATAGGAAAGTAAACACACTTCATTCATTTAAGTTTTTATCAAAGCGACTGAAAATAAAAGCCCTTAACCATGAGGGTGCAAATTCAGAACAGTAAGAATCCAGGAGGTATATTATCCTCAAATAAGTCAAACTATTGTAAGTGCAACATACAGAAGTGTTAGTCAGCGACGGATGACGTGCAGGGGTTGAAAGAAACAAGGTTGATTTACTTGGTGGATATAAATAATCAATTTGTAATCACATTATATGAAATGAAAATGTTCAAGCAATGTTCATTTTAAGCTTTAAAAAGGAGTTTCAGCTCATTGTTTGGCCGTTCAACACTGCTCTGATTTACTCACTTCACTAGAACCGCCAGAGATTTTTTATACCTAAAACCGCCACCGGGGTCAAATTGACCCAGCTTTAGAATGCATTGATTTTCAAGGTAAAAGTATTGCTTTAAAAAGAAAAATGGTCCTGTGGTATTGGTATTTTGACTAGTAATTTTGTTAAATTGTTTCGTTTATTAACGGTACAACATAGCGTTTCGTGAGGCGGTTGTCGTTGTTGGGTGAAAAGCAAACAGCTGTTTGCTGCGGAGCGCAGCGCGAGCAGTCTCCCGTGAGCGGGAGCGCGCTCCTTCACTACAGACTGTCGCATCAACTCTATCTATCTATCTATCTATCTCTCTCTCAATCTATCTCTCAATCTATAAGGAACCGCAGTAGGCAAAAGGCGTTGCTATAGCAACACGCCATGTTTGTTTACACGCGAAATCAATAGCGCGAAAAGGGGTGGGGTCAATATGACCCGCTTGGCGGAAATAGGTATAAATGGCAATTCTTTTGGCGATTTCTTCAATCTGACTTCATATTGACAATTTTTAACAACATAGGGTGCTACATAACACACTTTCAGGAAAAGTCACGGACTGGGAGACTTTAATATGTTATTGAAAAAAAAGTTACATACAATAAAAAACAGCTCTGGGTCAAATTGACCCGATTTGCGGTTCTAGTGTTAAGCAAAAAAGCTCTAAAAACACACCATACCTAAAAACACACCATACCATGCTCAGAAAGCAAAAGAGAAAGTTAGCGACTGATGGTAAACAGAGTGGATTATTAGGCAGCTGAAGGGCCAGATTGTTCCCTAATCAAATGGTGGAGACTAAAATCAGAGCTAAAAGAGAATAAATATTGGAATGACACCAGTACACAACTCCAAATACAATATTGTATAGCTTTCCAATGGTTTGATGTAAATGCACAACCGTTTCATAACATCTTAAAATGTGGTGCTATGTCAGTGTTGTGTGTTTAACTTGTTTCTAGTGCCTCCAAGTGGCCAAAAACTCAGGTACATGTATAAAGGGGAAAGGTAGTGCTAACTCCACTTTATACTTCTACAATTTGCTGTTAAATATATTTCATTTTTCTCTACTTATTTGACAGATATAATAGTTTGGCCTAAAAAGTATTTTGATGATTTTGCTTTTAATTAAATTGCAACTTGTTCTAGCATCAATCGTTATGATTTGATATTTGCTTTCTGTGTCTAACACATTGATTAAATTAAAAAAGTGTTTACCATTATAGACTTGCTTTTATTGCAATCATATTCCTTCATCGTATCTCCTTAGGATTTTATTATTTTATTGTTTTCACTCCCAGTCTCCTCCTTATCACTTCTGATTTCTTTCTACTGTAAGGCACTTTGAGCTGTGTTTCATGTCATGAAAGGCAGTATATCAATACAGTTAACAATAAGTATTATTTATTATTGAACTAAATAAACACATGATCTGATTCAGTCAGCTCTTTAGGAACAATTAAATAGATCTTTAGTGTAATACTAACTACCTCTTTAAAGCGTGTAACCCTCCACCTGAATGTAAAGATGTAAATCCCTCAGAGCTGTGAGTGAAATAGGAGGTGCACAGAGGACAGCTGCTGCTGAGCTTCTGTGTCCTTGGCTATTAGGTTTCTGAGCAGCAGCAGCCACACAACAGCTCATTGTAGCTCATTCTGGTTAATGTGCACACATGCTCACATTTGTGGCCATATGCACACTCAAAGACATACTAAAAGACACACTCAAAGACACACACAGGACACACACAGGGGCCATCAGTGCAGACACGTGTGGAAAGCATAAGAGAAATACAAAGTCTCAAAATCTCTGCTGCAGCACCTGTTCACCATCTACAGTCCCAGCTGCTGCGCTCGAGCAGGTTGTCATGTTACACCATACAGTGTGTGTGTTTCACACACACCAAGAACAACACCGCTCAACACACACTGCTCACTTTACACCAACTTGTTTCACATAAACAACCTCTCTCAATCCTATACAAACCAAATATACGTGAAGAGGCGACTTTACAAGCAAACAGTACTTTGTTTACAGTGGCTGTAAAAGATCAAAGATGTTTTACTCAAGTAAATGTATTAATACCACAGTGCAAAACTACTTTATTGCAAGTAAGATTCTGCATTTAACTGTGTACTCGAAAAAAATGCACAAAAGAAGAAGCATCAAAATATTATGAAAGTACAAAAAATGTAACTTCTCATTCTTCAGAATAATCTTATATTATTTAAAGGGGCCCTATTTTGCTTTTTTTTAGGTTCATATTTGTATTTAGTGCTACTACTGTGACATGTCTCCTTGCTTTAATGTTCAAAAAGCTCTTTATTTGTCTCATACTGCCTGTGCTGCAGCACCTCTTTTCACCCTCTGTCTGAAACCAGAGCCCAGTCTGCTCTGATTGGTTAGCTAGAAACACAAGGGTGGCATTGTGATGTCACTATGTTACGGAAGAAACTCCCACTTGAGGGAACTCTGGGATTTTAGCCTTTGCAGACCATTTTCATCCACAAAAACCTATATAACACACCATTTTAAAGAGAAATATGAATGCATTATTGTTGCAGTTGAAACAATAAAGGTGCCAGGTATCTTGTGACTTTCACCAAGGCATCAATGAACTTTAATGTTGACCAATAACAATACAAAGAGTCAGATAAATTAAATGGGGTAAAAATTACAATATTGTTGCCTCTGAAATTTTGTTGTGTGTGCAAGTGAAAAAGTAGCAGGAAATAGAAATACTCACATACAAATACCTTCATATCGTACTGGTATGAGGTCATTCTCTCCCTGCTGTGACATGGCCAAATGTATGCTGTAAAAAATCAAATCCAATCAGTACTTGTTACGGAAATCTCAGACCTAGTCAATACTGCGGAGATATACAATTAGAATGATCAATCAATAAACTGGTGAAACAAACAGAGTTGTATTTCTGGTTCTTTATTCGAAGCGCTTCAAAGGTACAAGTCTCACAGAGTACAGAGTATTCTGCAAGAGTGCACACAGAGGAAAGGATGTATGTAGGTTTTATAGGATCTTGATAGTTCAACAACACTTCGTCACATGTCACTGAGGAGCCCTGGAAGGAGGGATAAGCTTTCCAGAAGAACAGAAACTGTCAATCACTAATATAGAAAAACAGGAACTCGTTAAGCAGATGGAAGAGACAAGAAATCAGGAACTTGATTTAGGGCTGCACGATATTGAAAAAAACTGACATTGCGATATATTTTTTTCCCCTGCGATATATATTGCTATACTATATTTAACCGGATGAAGGATTTTAGTCACGGACGTCTGGATCTTAACTGGTTGACTCATCATACCTTAAGTCATGATCTAACATGTCATGTCATGGCATGTTGCTTACCCTCAAATAAGGGGGTTCATCTGTGAATGACGAAGAGAATAACCTTTTTGTATCCAAAATAGTTCCAGATGGCAGATGTTGCTTTTCTTTTTGGAAGTAAATCTTCATTCTCGCCGGTATTGTCCTCCTGTGCCTCGCTCATTTTTCACCGGTGTTTTGATGGTCTGCAAACTAGCGGGGCGGGGCCTGCTGTGATCTGATCAAGAATGATTGTGATTGGTGGTTTGCTGTGCATGCAGAGCCTGCATGTCACTCACTCAAGTACCCCTGACATGAGAGCCGCGCAAGTTTTCCTTTTGTAGCAAGCAGCAAAATAATTGTAACATGACGTGTTTGAGTTAATGTACCTACTTAATATCGCACGTCCTAAAAAAAAAACTAAAAAAACAATATTATAAAAAATTAATAAAATCGCACGTCCCTGCGATGTGAATATCGCGCATGCGCATATCGCGGTTATCGCCATGACACGATATATCGTTCAGCCCATACTTGATTGTAGAACAGGGAACATAACACAGGAACTTGTCCAGTACCCTGTGCTTGATACCCAGACACTCATGAGGACTTTTTTCACGACTCTGTGTTTAACCCCCCCTGACCTTTAAAAGTCAATCATAAGAAAGACAAAGGACATGAACTGAAATACATCACCTAGACCTTACTCCTCAGTCTAACAAAGGTTATGAGCTCAAATACATCATTATGGAAACTATTGCATTTGGTTTTACCATATAAGGTAACATATACAATTTGCCACTACATACTACATAAGCTTAAATACATGTATTGCATATAAATACCAAAACATTCATCAAGTACAACTACATTATTCCTTAAATGTGTTTAGGAACAGTATCATTGAATACGTCCCAGGTGTGTGTTTCTTTGGTAGGGCCTTGAACAAGTGAACTGTGTACCCTCTTAATTATGAAGTGCATGCCATGAGGAAACAAAAGAGAAAAAATATGTGCTCTGGACAAGATAAGTTAACAGGAAGGCATAGTTTTATGATTTACAGACAGTAGAAATAAAAGAGGTTGGACTTATGGCGTTCATAAAGATTAGGTGTACCACTAATAAGAGATAAATACAATATACTCACAACGAGAACAGCACACAAACAGGATAATAACTCACTGCTACGACGCACATTTCACAGTAAATCACAGACTACAATACTAAACACAGATTTATTCAAACAGGGGAAGATGAAGGCGCTGGCATTGCTCTCACTGAGCCTCGCAGGTGAGAGATTTTATAATTGTTTTACTTGGTGTGTTATCCAGAATATGGTTTACCTCTTATACTTTGTGTTTTACAAATATGCTCCGTTTAATTTTGCATTAAAAGGTAATTTTTCCTAATTACTTGAAGATTTAGCATCTAGTCTCAGCTTAAATGCAATCATTTATTTCCAGTAATGATGTTTCTATGACTTGCTCTATGAGCTTTGTCCCTAAAGAGAGTCTAGTTAATTATCAACGCTGTGTTTCTCTCATCATATCATGTACAAATCATTCTGTTGTGTCTGTTGTGTAATTGTTTCAAATTGAAATGCTTTACAAGGCACATTAACTCATGCACACTTGAACTGCTTGAACGCAAAATCACAACAAAGATATCTCGAAACAAAAGAGAACTATACTACAAGGAAAAACCACATGTCAGCAGATCATAAAGTGTGTGTGTTTCAGTCTGAGGGGTGTGTGTCCAATGGCCCAATGTCGTCCAATGGTGGCATGTAAATTTAATCTGCCTTTTCTCACCAGCATTTCTCTCTTATTTGTCTCTTTGCAGTGGCTCTGGGAAGGCCACCATTTGATTCACGAGTTGCACCGAACCCTGTGCTGACTGGAGACAACCAGAGCCCTCTGCTGGGAGACTGGGTTCCTGTGCAGGGTCATGTGGTGGTGGAGGACCCTGCACCACAAGTCCGGCCTCGCTTTGAGGAGCAACAGGTAAAACCAGCTCCAGTAAATCTGAATCCAGAGGTTAAGGCTGAAGTAAAGTTGACGTGAAGCCAGATGTTGAGATGGAGCCAGAGCTCAGCAATAACCCAGACTTTAAGGTGGAGCCAGATGTTCAAGAGGCAGAATCAGAAGAGAGCCACATTGACATGGAGGAAAAATATGAACTTGTGGGTGAACCAATCATGCAGCAGGAGCCACTGGATGAAGACAACGTGTCTGAAGCAAATCAGAATCAAGATCCTGTCAATCAACGTCTCTCAGAGGAGGGAGAGGGGCTTACAAGAGAGAAGACCCACTTTTTAGACGGAGAACCAACAATGGAACTGGAAAACCAACAAGTTGAGGATGTGCCAGAGCTCAGCGATAACCCAGACTTTAAGGTGGAATCAGAGGTTAAAGTGGAGCCAGATGTAGAAACAGAAGAGAGGCACATTGATATGGAGGACGAATCTGAAATGGCGGGCAACCCAATCATGGAGATGGAGCCACTGGATGACGACGACATGTCTGAAGAAGAACTGAGCAACACAGAAAAGTCTTTAAGGGCAGCATTTCAGCATCAAGACCCTGTCAATCAATATCTCTCAGAGGAGGAAGAGGGGCTTATAAGAGAGAATACCTACGTTTTGGACGGAGAACCAATTTTGGAGCTGGAGCAACTGGAGGTTAAAGTGCAAGAGAACTTTGAGGAAGAGGGTGAAGAAGGGCGGGAGAATGACATTGAGCGTAAATATGAAATAGTGGGCGAGCCAATCATGGAGCTGGAGCCACTAGAGGATGACAACGAACCTCAAAAGGAGTTTCCGGTGCAAATGAACCTTGAGGAAGAGACTAAATCAAACCAGGAGACTGAAGAGAAGCACATTGACATGGAGGCAAGATATGAAATGGTGGGCGAGCCAATCATGGAGTTGGAGCCATTGGATGATGACAACATGCATGGAGAGAAACTGAGCAGCAGGTCAGAAGTTAACACAGAGAGAAAATATGAAATGATGGGCGAGCCAATCATGGAGTTGGAGCCACTGGAGAACAAAGACACGGAGCAGACAGAAGAGGAAGGAGGGCCAGCATTGGACATCTTTGGGCAGCCGATGAAAACTTCAGAGGAGTATTTCCCAAATGAAGAGGCTAGGATGGGCTCTCCCATGGTGGGTGGGTCCGACTATTTGATGATGGATGAAACAGCGAGTGAGTTTTTCCAAACAGACCAGATGTCCCCAATGGCAGCAGACAGTCCTGTGATTAATCATGTAAGAGAGCCAAGGGCATGGAGGAGGCAGGCTGTAAACAATCCTGAAGAAAGAAGATCATCATCAAAACACAACAAGCAAGGTAAAGTGTGAACAAATGATGCACACACACTTTAATAAAGAGATTGGAAAAGAGAACTGATTACAGTTTAAAGAAATGTTTTATAAGTGCATGTGAGTTGTGTTTTAGAGTTGGAAAACCTATCATTTAAAAAGAAAAAGTGTGTAATTTCCCCTTTTGGCCACAGGGCAGAGCTGTTCCCCTGGTGTGATGATCGAGGGGAAGTGTTACCAGTTCTTCAAAGAGCCAAAGAAGGCCGCAGATGCTGAGGTATGTTGCACACTTTGACACTTCCAGGTGTGCACAAGTTTAACATTAATATGTTTTTTCTCTTACTGTGCCACAGAACAAAACAAAAACTTGTATTTTTATTGTTATTATTTTTAAAGTCAAGTAAAGTAACTTGTTACTTTTATAATTTAGTAACTAATAAAGTAACTAGTTACTTTTTTGAGAGCAGTAACTATAACTATTACTAGTTACTTTTTAAAAGTAACTTGCCCAACACTGCTCATAACATCAAAAATTCTACTGGCAAATAACCCGCTTAACACACACATGACATACTGGCATTAGTCCATATTACAGTAGCTCGCAGGTGACGCAATGTTCGTCAATTCTCCGGTAAAACTACGATAACGTGCAATATAAATATCTTATCTGCATTACCGCTAGTTTGTTACACTTACACATTTATTATACATCTGTGTCACTACTTTTCACCACTTTAGCTTACCTGAAAACACAGAAACACAACGACATCATTGCAGCGTGGATGCGATGCAAACTGCGGGCTCCGTTTTTAGTGATGCCTTCACCTGTTGTGAGTTTCCCCTGCAGGACCCTGAGCTGCCCTCTGCGCCTGTGTGAGCTGTACTCTTTTTAACATGAACTTGACCTATTCAATATTATAGTTGGCATACATCAGGCAATTACAGGTTAATTAAATAGAACTAAACACAAATATAAAGTTTCTTGTTTCAATACACAGTTGTATGTCCATAAACATTCCGACTGTGCGTCCCACAGGTACCAATATTATTATTTTTCAAAGATTAACAATTAAACCTTTTTAAAGCTAAACTTCTTATATGATAATGTGCATTATCCCACCTTCACTTCTTCTCTGTTTCTCTGCAGTTCTTCTGCCAGGATCATTTCTCTGGAGGTCACCTGGCTTCCATCTCCAGCCTTCACGTCCACAGAGAGGTGATGAACCTGATCCGGCAGAACGGAGGTCTGACTCGCACCTGGGTCGGAGGGCTGAGATATTTGGAGGTGTGTATGTTCAGCCACCTTATACTGTATCTCATATCCAATACCATCATCATAAATCCGATTATAAATCATGTTTTATTTTATTTTTTACACGTCATAGTCTGTATCATATTTAAATAGCAGCTCTATATTAGTGCAGTCAATCAGAAAGTGCCGTTATTTGATCATACAGTATCATCAATTCGATAAACAAGACCTATCTTGTGAAAAACCTAAGTGAAAACACTTTTTCTAACATGGTCCCAAGATAAAGGCAAAAAAGAAAGTAAAACAAAATTCACAATTAAATATGAATTAAACCTTCCTGTAGTCTCAAAGAATGTACATTTAAAACATTAAGCAAAAAAAACGAGGAAAGCTAAAATAACAATATCATTGCAGACTACATCATCAATCATACATTTACACTTTTCCAAAGAAAGGCACTTACCTGACTTCTATAAGACCCTTTTATTTAAATACTTGATGTGTAGAAGAGGGCTGTTTCTAACATGGGAGCAGCTTAAAAATAAGTAATTTGTCACTCGATTATTCACAATTTTTTATAAATTGTCTTATTCTATTCTTATATAAGCCTTAACATACCTCTCATTATTTATTATTTGACTTCCCTCTTTACCTATACTATTGTTGTCTGTGTGCCGCTGTGACAACATCATTTCATTAATACATGTCTACCATACGATAGGATAGGATAATTAATTTCAGACAGAAGTCTGACATTTTTCTTGCATCAAAATCAACAAGGACAGATATTTAAAACAAGAAACAGACTTTTAACATTATATTCACTGAGGACAATGTGTGTGACTCTTAGACGTGCATTCAACCTGGGATTGACTCACTTATCTTAAAGGTCCCATGTCATGGCCATTTCCACTGATCATAATTCCATTGTTGAGGTCTACTAGAATAGATTTATATTGTGCAATTTTCCAAAATCACTTTGGTTTCTCATACAGCATCTCTGTAAACTCGTATCACTGAATTTCACTCTCTGCCTTTAACGGCTCGTTGTAGCTCCAGTAGCTCCAGCCCCCACCCTCCCTGTCACACACACACACACACACACACAC